TTTTTTAAATAAAATATACTTAAATGCCTATCAATGCCGTGGGAGTTTGTCTCTGATCCTTTTAAATGTTTTATATGATTAAAATTTATGTATTTGAGATTAATATGATTCTCTGAATGTGTGATATATCCGGTTTATAATCATTATTTTAGAGCGTAATATTTTTTTAATAAAAAAAATATAAGTATATGAATTAATTGTATAATTATAAGTATAGGTAAATTTTTTTTATAAGTACAAAGCATGTGAAAAGATTACTTTGTGACTAATCTCTCTGATTAACTTATCAAGTGACCTATTAGAGCATTTTGATAAAATTATCAATTTTTTGTTGTTATCGATGTATGTTGTTATAAGTAAAAAGATTAGATTGGTGATAACGAATTATATATAGTTAGATGTTTTTGTGCTTTAAGCAATCCTGCCGGTTAAATTATCAGCATTTTTGTTCAACTCATAATAATTCTATTTGGTAATTCGGCAAAATTTTTGATTGTCTGACTTGTGTTTTCAATTTTGCTAATTTGACTTGTTGCGTTTCAGTGCACTCCAACTGTGTATCCCGCCGAGCCATTCGATGCAAACGCGGACGCCACTATCTTGCGTAAAGCGATGAAGGGATTCGGCACGGACGAGAAGGCGATCATCGACGTGCTTACAAAGAGAGGCATTGTACAGAGACTGGAGATCGCGGAGGCGTTCAAGACCATGTACGGAAAAGATCTGATCAGCGATTTGAAGAGCGAGCTGACTGGAAAACTGGAGGATGTCATTGTTGCCCTTATGACCCCGTTGCCTCATTACTATGCCAAAGAGCTGCACGACGCGATTAGCGGTATGGGTACTGATGAGGAGGCAATTGTCGAGATTCTATGCACTCTCAGCAACTATGGCATCCGTACGATCGCCACGTTTTACGAAAATTGTAAGATTTTTGTTATCTCGATTTATTATGTGCTTATATAGTTAGATTTTCTTCTATTAAGAAATACATTATTTTGAATAGTGTACGGCAAAAGCCTTGAGAGCGATTTGGAGGGCGATACATCGGGCCATTTCAAGAGATTGCTAGTATCCCTCGTGCAGGCAAACAGAGATGAAAATCAAGCGATCGATCAGGCTCAAGCGGTCGCTGATGCTCAAGCGTTATACGAAGCTGGTATGTCGTGAAATTTTTTCATCGAGTTCTCCTTTAGAAAATTTCTCTTTATCTGTTGATTGAAAAATTGAAATGTTTGGTCGCTTTAAATGTATTTCGTGATGCGCAATGTTCCATTTTTTAATTTTGACACAGGTGAAAAACAATGGGGAACAGACGAATCTCAATTCAATGCAATCTTGGTATCTCGCAGCTATCAGCAACTGCGACAAACGTTTATCGAGTATGAGAAACTATCGGGACATGACGTAGAGGTTGCCATAAAGAAGGAATTTTCTGGCAACATCGAGAAAGGCTTACTTGGAATAGGTAAATAACTATTTACATATTTATTCGGACTGTCGCGAGTATGCCATATTAACATTCTTATTTACAAATCACTTGAGTTACTAATTTCATAATGTGACTAGCCCTTATGTTTCATGTTTCTTGTAAGTAAACACGCGCGCCCAGAATCAGTTGTACTTGTTCGATATATATAATTGTGCGTTCCAGCGTGAAACACGAGCGGTTGAAATAGCAGTTCAATGCGAGGAAATTATAAGTTTTTGAACGCAACGGAATATCAATAATCCCAATATAACACGATATCATGAGTCGAACTTTTCGTAAATACCTGACAACCTAGACATTTACGTTTTCTGTGAACTTTTGTAAAATGAAAAATATTTTCGCAGGGCAGAGGCAAGTTATTGCAGCAAGATTTTACTTAGCTTTTGTTTACCCGTTTGTAAAAATATTAATATGATTGTTGTTGTGATTGTCAGATAATTAGAGTTAAACACTTTTGGACACGAATATGTACCCGACAACACTTAGTAGCGTGAAGTGTAGACACACCCCCCAAACTTTTTTCATCCTCTGTTCTTTATTGATGTGTAATAATCTAATTTCCTGACTCTTTTTAATCTTAAAATACTAGTACAACTTTTGATTTTAATGAAAAAGACAAGAATATCTCTATTATTGTGTGATAATTATTAAAGAGACGTAATTTGATTCATAAATTGCATGAAAATGGTGTGTTCAATACCTGTGTGGTATTGAATTTTATATATATTATGTTATTATATATATTTATCTCCTGACAATGTTGCATGGCAACTATTACATATAACATACAAAAACATTTGTTACTACATCTGTATATTTCACACACAAATGTAGTATAATCTACATACCTATACAAAATCCGGATTGAAAATGCCGTATGAGCGTAGTATAACTCTACAGCATGGAAAGAGAATGCTCCCCTTATCAGTTTATCATATTTCTCCATATATTTTTCATTGCTTTAACGTATAATCGATACATGTAACGTTACAAATCATCTTAATTTTTGGTCGACAGTGAAATGCGTCAAGTCAAAAGTTGGATTTTTCGCTGAGCGTCTGTACGCCAGTATGCACGGCATAGGTACGAAGGATCGGACACTAATCCGTATCATTGTGTCTCGAAGTGAAATCGATTTGGGAGATATTAAAAAGGCATTCGAAGAACGCTACGGAAAGTCATTGGAGAGTTGGATAGCTGTACGTATTCCAAATTATGTGCTTCTAAAAAATTCGTTCTGTCATCTAAATTATATTTTTCAATCGGTTGCAATAAATTATTAACAAGTACATATATATATGTTACAGGGAGACACTTCGGGAGATTACAAGAAGGCACTTCTTTCCTTGGTCTCCACATAATTTTGATGAAGCTATTAAGGGTCCAGGTGCACACTTGCCTATTAATGCATTATCTACGAAAAACAACTTTATATATTTCTACATGGATTCCAGCTTAATATTGTTTAGTGTACTAATGAGGAATTAGAAAAGGTACATAGCTGCATTTTTGAATACTTATCATTTTTGTAATACTTTTTTGAAATTTTTACTTTGTAAGTAGGCCAGTAAAACTTTATGACGTTCTGCGTTCCAATCTCGTTCACATATACATAAATTATATTTAATTAAATTATATTTTATATATTCTTATTTTTATCAAAAGATTTACATAAAGAATCTCAAAGTGTAAAAGAGTGAGAAATAATTGAGAAATCAATGAAAATAAAGTAAAAAAAAACATTCTATACGATTTATTTATTTCCTCACCTTTTGTTCACATATATGTATAAATAAAAATTAATATATTTGTATGTGTGTATGTTTGCGTGTACATCTAAGCATACTTACAGATATAACAGTTTATAAAATAAATTAAAATATTACAATTTAAAACATTTTCATAAAGCATATACGTTTATCAAACTAGAAGAAAAAGTTCATTTGTGTATTATTAATTCTGCATATACAACAAACTACAAATATATACAATCAAATATCCATATGAACCAGATTAATGTCAATAAAAGTAAATTTTCTCCGAATTTTACTGTTTTTTTTTACTGTTCGCATTTGTTGTTACACTACGTACAAAGTAAAAAGACAAGTGAAAGATAGTCGATAGAACATTTTTATTCTGCTCATGCAATTAGAATAAATAATGTGGTCTCGGAGAAAACTTCACCGATATGAATATTGTTTGGTTCATGTCCATAATATCGGCAATTAACAGTATTTTCCATAGTCTTTACATATCAATGAAGTTATAACTATACTTTGTACGTTAATTGCACATATAAAGAAAATATTTTTTCAGCGCATGAATTACTGCGCCTGGTTCTAATTGCCAATTAATTATTAAAGTTATTGAAAATATTTTTTGTTTTATTTTTAATCACTTTTCCTCTCACGCTACTTTCCCACTATTTTATATTTGATCACGCACATATAAAATGAACATGTCATTATTTTAAATTAATTGTGCACACACATTTTCAATTTAAATATGCATAAATGTGATGCAAATAATGAGAGCAGCCAAAAAGAAGAAATGGAAAGATTGAAGAATACGGAGATTCCATTGTAAAATAAACAAACTTTGGAAAACAAATCTCTTTAAAACAGACATTTCTAGATAATTATGCTGCCTTTTCTCTTTTTTAACTTTTTATTCGTTTCTTTCAGCCGACCGCTTCTTCGGACAGATGTAGGAACTAAAAACGAGAGGATATTGTTTCAGTATTTTAAACATATTGCATATTTTACACATGTATACAAAATTAATAATAAAAATTAAGTAGAACCTTTATTATCCGAAAAATAGAATACATTAATAGAGGAGATAGAAACGTGTTTGGGTAATCAAATTATTGGACAAATTTTTTTAAAATTTTCCATATACTCGCAATTTCATATGTATAGTCGCCGCCAATGATTTCTTTTCTGAGGTATTCTTATGTTCCCCCCTTATCCCAGGAAAGGAATCATTGGCGGCGACTGTACATTTATTTTAAGAGATTATACAAAAATACGGATAAAATACGTGATATTAAATATGTAGGTAGTAAAAGAATCTTAGTAAACAAATGATTAACCAGTAGTTGACGGCAAATTCCAATAGAAATTACAGCAAATTGACACTTATTGAACACAGGTTAATCTAAAATGTTAATCTAATCAGGTTAATCTGATGTAAACTTGTAGTTCCATTTTTCTCGCGATCATCTTTTTTGACAAAATTTTATCATATTTCTATCAGCATTCTATCGACAGCGACAAATTCTCCGTGAATTTATAACTTTCTATCGACAAAATTTGCCAGACCTATACAAAAGTTTTTTCAACAGACTTATCTACTATTGGGGATAGTATGTATAATATACATAATAGTTTTGCTTTTATACTTTCTCTTTTCAAATTCTTTTAAATTGTTGTCAATTTTCATACAAATTTGACCTCATTAATTTTATTTCTTTTCATATTTCAGACAATTTGTCTGAAAAAAAAAACATCTTTTAGTGTTACAAAATTTTGACATTGGCACATCTTTATAAAACAAGAATATTGCATGAAATATTCTTCATGTAAGAAAGGAAGGAGATAATATTGTATTATTATTAAATTCTCTATAAATAAAAAATAATAAAGTATATATAAATACGTTATTAAAATTATCAGTTCAACGTAATTTGAAATAGTAGAATACTCAGATATAATATTACTCGGATAATACATTGGTTCTACCACATTTCAATTTATCAATCGATATTTCTTCATCAATATAAGTTTGAACTTAATGTATTAGAAAATTTAGTAACCTTGATTATCAGTGACAATTTTCTTTGGGCGTCCTCTAGGTCGACCGGACATTTTTTGACCCGGGACAAACGGATTAAACATCGCAGGCATTCTCTTAAAACACCTGAGCGCTGGTGTTGTCATCATATTGTCTATGGGTGGCCATGGTGTTTTGGGTATCGTATGAAACGTCGTGGACTCACAAACCGTATGTAAGTCAATGACATCTTTCCTGAAAAGTATTTCCAAATATGTATTTGTTCGTTAATAAAATCTATGTTCTAATATATATGTATATATGTATACATATATAACAGGTCGAGTTACATTCGTTATATTTACCCAATTTCTTCGGTTTGCTTATAAACATAAGCAAATGGTCCATTTTGTGGAACATGTCGCAGAATATACTGGCCAGGAGCCAAGGATGCTAATCCTTCGATTATATTATACAAAACGCTTAGAGAATCTTCTACCTTGACATTATAAAGTCGTTTCATTTCATTGCTCAGCGACATTGTTGTAAGCCTTTCTATTTGTATTACTTCTGCAGTGTTAGTTTCTATCCTAACTGTAATGATACAAAATTTTATATGTAGAATATAATATAATCATGTGAACCGTTCCGTATAGGACCATTTGTATAAGAGCGATCGATTATTCAAATCTTAGATTCAATCCTGATCCTCATCCCTTATGTATGCCTTGTATTATTTATAAGAGGTTGATTAAAGAATTAAAATTTTTGAATAAAAGAGTATGAGGTTATTGAGATTGTAATCTGTTTCGAGACCAATAAACTAAGACACATACACATACATAATAATTATAAAATAATACCTCTAGCTAACGATGTGTCTGGTCTAAATTTCAATGAAGCCCATTGGTGCAAGCCTTCCTCCAATGTTACAGCTTCAGCTCCAAGTCCTGTCTGATGCTCCATCCTCGGTGCTAATATTAAAAACTCTGATTTTCCGTTTGGCAACATCTGACGAAGACAAATTTCATATTTTATAATTCGATACCGATTATTAATAGGAACAGTATGGGAATACTCTTACCTCAATCCCATCCGTCTTTGTACGAACCAACATTTGATATTCCTTCACGCCGTGCTTTATTCTTTCATGCTGTGGAGATTCCGCTGGCCCTATTGTGAAAAGCTTATACGACACATTTTGTTTCATATCCATTTTAAAATCAGTTTCGCCATTTGCTGGATTATCTGAATTTCCCGGTTCGTCTGGATCTGATAAAGCCAAATCTTCTTCAAAGTTATTAAGATAATTATAAAATGTACTATCGTTACTATCCGTGTCCGAATTCGCAGCTTTCTCAGATTTGTCTTCTTTTTTCGTATATTTTGTTCTAAAATATTCATCACGATGCATAATATACACTGATTTTTATGCAATATTATACTTTATGATATATATGCTTATACTCACTCTTCTGATGATTTTCTTTCAACGTCAACGAAGTACTGTCTAAGTACATATTTATATACCCAGGTATTCTTTTGCGGTATAGTGGCGGCGCTTGGTGGTAATCTCTTATTGACGTAAACAATATTCTTTCCATGATGCGATTTCACGACCACTGGTATGAGCCACGAGTTTGAATAATCCGGATCTATGTTGTTCAACAGACACTTGAGGCCACTAGACGAAATAACAAAGTCTGCATCAGCTTCTCTCGCAAGACTCTCGCAATATGAATCCTCGCTCACGGGTAATCTGAAATGTTGCGTCACATTGTCAGGCGCGATGCACACAGGGAATCTTCTGAACAACTCGTCATGATTCGTAAATAACGAAACTTTTACCAGATCGAGTTTCGGCAATGTCACCTTCGAAAAGGTTCCCTAAAAATGATAAAATAATTAAATGCACATTCAAATTGAGTACGTCGGATAAATATCGATATCATGTTGCGATAACTTGCCTCTCGTAAACAAGAGATGAATGTTACTTTAATGGCTTTGATTCTAAAATTATTCTTCTGTACAGAAAGTGGTATATTCATAGATTCAGCATAAAATCTCGGTAACTTTTTAAATTCCTGCATTTTTGCCTTCCATTTTAATGCGACAAATTTATTACATTTGATCAACCAGGGAAAAGAATCATCCCACTTGCTCTTTGCAAACACTAAAAATTCTTTCTGTTCTTCGGATATTGTCTCCTGCAAGGCCTGGAAAAAGTTCATTCCAATTTCAATACACAAAACACAGAAGTTTTTTAAAATTGTTGCTCATACATAAAAATAAAGTTAAACTGTTTTTCGTTTTTTCTTTTCTGTCTTAACCAGTCCAAATTAAGAATGTTAAAATGCTCAATAAGAGATATTTATTCACCATGTATTCTTGCAATTCCTTCCTTTCTTCGTCGTTCATTCCCTTTCTTTCATTGCTAGATAATCTCAATAAAACTCGAAGGCACATAGTTTGCTGTTCCTTATTCAAACGAGACCTTTTAGGAAAGTAAAACGGCAATTTTCTTATTCCAGGTACATAAAACTTGTGTTTTTGCACACGAGTGTTACTCCCGTGCTCGACTTCTTGCTCATCCTTGTCCTCCGTGTCGCTGGAAAGTACCTCGCCATCCTCACGGAGATACTTTTTAATCAACTCTACATCGACATCGGCATAGTCGCTTTTGATATCGTCAAACGGATCTGTGAAGCAGTCGTTCATGATTCTATACATCGCACTTTCGCGCTCCATTCTCTCGTCCCTGATGAATACATTGTCTATCATGTCCTCCAACGCGGGATACCTACAACAATGCGACAATAATAAACAGTAATATACAAAAACACATGTTCATATTCAATCAATACAAATAAAATAAGTACAAAATATAAATATAAACAAATTTAAAAAAATGATCAAAGCACGTGTTTGACGCACGTGTCACATCGCAATCATTCCATAATTATGGACAAAAAAAAATGTACTCCAATCGTACAAATCGTAATCATAAGCAGAATAAATAGAAATTGCAAAATCCATTTATACAAGATTCTGTGCGCTTTGACGCTTGAAATCGTTGCACGTACCAGTCGAGGTTCCGGAATCTCTCCATGTTCAAACGATAGATACTGTTTATATGGTAATAGGATTGTTTATATTTTAAAACATGTTTTTCGTTCGTCACGTTCGACGAACAATAACAAGCTGCGTTGGCCGACAAAACATTTCACGCTGAATTTACAATAATTTTCTTTTTTATATTATTCTTCACGCTTCTAGATGCTTTCCTTGTCCGCTTCCACTGTTTTTTCGCGTGCACAATGACCAATGCACAATGCACATTGCACGAGTTTTTGTTGTCCTTGAGTGCAGAAAGTGTAGCGATTCGCTTTCAAAAGGGTGACGCAGTGCGAGCACCAAGAAGTGTAAAGAGGTGCAGGTAAAGCTGCACCTGCAAGTTAAAACTTATCTCTGTCAGCTGGATAAATAATAATATATTTTTCCCTGAAAAATCTCTTTTTATTTCGTTAGATAGCCGAGTCGTATGAACGGTTTCCATTGAAAATTGGATGATTTAATTAAAATCATCCGTAGTGTCTTGTCTCGCGAGGTCAGCGGAGTTACGTCAAGCGCGGCTGGAACGATCATTTCGGCGAAATGAATTTCGGAAGGGTTGCTAACATTAACGTTTTTCGCAAAATTCGACAGCTCGGTAAGTCTCGCGCAAGTGTCGTGACAGTTTCAATCGTGCGCTTCCTTCGTTTCGCGAGCTAGACTGAATTTTTCGTACCTAACCTAAAAAAATGCGTTTACATAATCTTTTGATAAACCGAGAGGATATCGTGCAGTAAACTTTAACTGAGTTTCTAGTGTCTAAAATTTCGCACGTTACTTGACATTTTATTTATTATTTATTTTATTGTTGTATTACCTATTTTATTTTTTATTTTATATTAACACATCTTTATTATATTGTTATTGTATCTTTTTACTGATTTCATGATTTATATTTGAAAGGATCAATAGTCAAAATGTCATGACAACTGTACTAACAGTTTGCCAGTTGGTCGAATAACAAATCATTGTTACTTATTTACTGTCAAAGCCAAGTTTTATGTCATTGTTTTAAGATTATATGGTGATCGGCGATTCTGTTGCAGAGACATTGGTCAAGCCTGGCGGATTACTTGTGCGAAGCTGCAATCCAACGCAATTTCCCAAGTCGACATCGAGTCTCACGAATCTGAGCCGCTCTGTGATTCCTGACGCGAGCAATTATCCAAAATGCCGTATTCTGTCCAAGGTTGTCGGTTCTAGAACTTCTACTCCAATTTTGTTTCTATCATCTATTTCTATTTTCTAAGAAAAATAGGAATAGGTAGGTATGTTGACAAAATGTACTTTACTGTCATATCTCTTTCAGCTGCCTGCACAATCCACGGTCAGCATGACCCAAACTCGTGCGGCAAGCGCTCAAGGCGATCACGTGCGATTGTGGGTGATAGAGAGAATAGTGTCCGCATCCTTCCTGGCGCTAATACCCGCCGCCCTGATCTTCGAAAATAAATTTATCGATATATTATTGGCAGCTGCCATTGTCATGCACACACATTGGTAATTGATATTATCTGACAGTTTAACATTTCTTTTTTCTAATTTAATTTCGTATAATATTCTATTATGGAGCATATTAATCTGAAAGAATAAATTTTATTACGCAGGGGATTGGAAGCTATCGTTCTCGACTATGCACGGCCCATCGTGGTTGGTACATTAGTTCCAAAAGTAGCGTTCTTGATGCTAAATCTATTGTCCGCCGCTACTCTAGCCGGCCTGCTTGTGCTGATCTATAACGGCCCCGGCCTTACAAAGGTCATTAAAAATGGCTGGGCAATAGGTAAAGATAGACAGAAAGCCAGTTAAATATGATTATTACAGCAGGAACAATTTGTTTGTGTTACATATATGAAGAACTTTTTAAGACGGTAGCTTATAAATTATTCGAGAATAAATTATTTACTTATTCAACAACTTTTCCTCTTTATACTACCTAAATTTTCATATGTGACTTACAAATTGAATAACAGTGAGTTATGAATGTCTAGTGGAGGATATTGTAAAGGATTGTAATTTATAGTATGTATATATGCGATTTAAAAACAGAAAGATATAATTAATGCCATTAATATTTATGCTACAAATCAATGATAACAAACAATATTTTTTTTTTCGTTATTGTCATTATATATGCATAATAAATGTACAACAGGCCGCGACAGGTCAACAGTGAGTTAAGTGAGATTTAATTGCCGGTAGAGGTAGCAGCCTTGTCTATGAAGGTCGCCAGTTTCACATCCCTCTGCGACAGTCCGTTCACGTCGTGGGACGACAGAGTAACATTTACTTTATTGTAAACATTGAACCATTCGGGATGGTGGTCCATCTTCTCAGCTTGTAAAGCTACCCTCGTCATAAATCCGAAGGCCTAGAAATCGAATTGCGTCGCCAGGTAGCTGGACAAACCCACAACAGTTGTGAACAGCTAAATTTGACATACCTCATTGAAGTTTTTGAACACAAACTCCTTGTAGATCGCATCCCTGTTCGCTTGGACAGTCCATCCCGTCGACAGCAACGGGCTCAAGTTCTGCTCTCTTTCCTCCGGAGTTAGTTTACTCTGATAAGGATCAACAGAGAAAAACGCTTCCATAAATTATCATAATTTATATTCTTTTATATAAATTACGATCAAACATAATTCGCCTAATATCTCTTTGTTCGTTATTTGCGACATATGTGGCACAGTGCCTTTATATAATCCTCATTAATAATCTTCATTTAAATATCGTTCAGGATGTATGCATAGAAATGTGACAAGATTTGTGTAACAAGTGGCTGACCATCGCCATATCACTTTCACCGCGGAAGGACTCGCCCAAGGATTTTGTACGTCCCAATTAAGTACTCGATCGAAATTCTTTTGTCCAAACACTCTGAACAATCTGCGACGAGTTCGCGGCAAATCTGACGAAGGGCTTACCATCTTGGCTCTCCTCGAGACAGCGGCGGATAAATCTCTGCGGTCCAGAATGCGCGATATGCACTTTCGAACGTGATCCCCTCCACTCGCGCGCCTGGTCAATACGGCTATCATTTTATATCGATGGCTCTATGTATTCTTAAGAAACTGAATTCCTCGCCGTATCGCAATTTCGCAATCATGCAGCGGACGTGATAAATGGCTCGTTTTTTTTCGCAGCGTGTTAAGAAAGACGAACCAATTTCTAAACGATTCCCTAACCTCTTGTTTCGTTGTGGATCCCGCCGTATCGGTTTCCATATCAAGGACAAGTTAAAATGTTGATAAATATACTGATAGGAATAAATTCTTTGTACAAATAATTCCGAAAAACAAAGAAATAATTTCTCGAATATTATTTTCGAATAGGACATTTTTAAATGTAAATTTTTTTTCATTTATTCTTATTCCATTTCATTTAGCAGAATGCGCGTATATATAGTGCGCGCGCGCACACGCACGTCGCACACCTACGAAAAAACTATCTTTTATTCTTTATCTACAATACACATAATAAAATGTTTCTTGAATTTTTTTCGTAGTACACAAGTCACAATTTGTAAAAAATGTTTCTTAAATGTACAAAAATCGAAGAGAATCTGTATCGGTATAAGAATATAGAGATGTATATTTTAGATATTTACATTTTATGAGACTATCAATAGATTTCATGACTGTACAAAACACACAAACAAAACTTTATTTCTTTTTTAATTTTAGTCAGAGGCTTAGGAAGTGTTAAAAAAAAAATAGATTTATCCTGTCAAACATAAATAAAAAAAATCTATAGTTTAATAAAGTCATTGATTCGATTTCGCCGATTTCTTTCCTTTCTTGACTAGAGTCACCGGCGGTGGCAATGGAACTTTAAGCACGATGATCTTCTTATCTTCCTTAGTGGGCACTGCTCCGATAATTTTCGCGAGGTCCGTCAACTTCTTTAGACTCGTTCGCGTTTCCAGCATAATTCGGAATAGCTCCAAGTCGAGGACGAAGTTCGATATCGTCAGTGCGAGAATCAAGCTGTGCACGAGGCCTTTGTCCTTCATGGTGTTCGGCCTCAACCTGTAAAAAAAAAAATGTCCTTAAAGTTTTATCCGCGATTTATGTAACCGATGCTCACTCACCGTCCGTTCGCGCTGGACACGCTGTACGTGTCGATAATGTGCTGATTCACTTCTTCAGAAATCGGGCATATGACAACATCGCGTCTCTTCGCGTTCTTCAATGGCATGGCAAACCACGCGTTGACCATTTCAATGTAGAGCAAAAGGGCTATCTTGTTCACATTGTCTGGATCCGATTGTACAACTTTTAAAGTGCGTTTGAAGAATTTTCCCTTTCTACGCGACCAAAAAGATACGTGTATAATAATATTGTATAAATGAAAAATACAGATGATAACACTGGTAAAGAATATAAAAATTAGGAAGTACCCTTCCACATCCCCATTGAGAACCTCCATTGCGTGCTCATACAACGTTTCCAATTTACTCTTGGGAATAATATCATATACATTGTACACATCTTTGACATTACTCGCATTCCTGTTGCACGGAGGTAGTATCCCACTTGACATACAGTCCTCGGCTTGTAATTCAGTTGATAAATCTAGCCGGTCAATTTCAACATCTGCCGGAAAACATATAACTTGGTGAGGTTTTTGTGTGTGATAAAAATGATCTGACATTACAACATATTTAAACGGATATTACTTGAAAATTCAATTATATGATAACATGAAGAAAAGGACTTTCTTACTTGACACTGTTTTCTCAAGTTGTTCCTTAATGGAATCGACATTCACTTTCAGCTTCTCAAATTGCTCAGTTCTACGTTTAACTCTCTTAGATCCAAATTGCTTGTTCAGTATAAAAATCTTTTCTTCCACGTTATCCTTGCTGTCGTCCACGCCGGGTTTCTCGAGTACTGGAGTTACTTGCCACCGCTCGGCCTCCAACAATCGTACTTTGCCTGTCCTTTTATTGTGGAGCACCAACATCGTTCGCGTTGACTCCTTCTCACAATCCGGCCTGTAACCTTTGTAAACAATGTGTCCATTTGACAAGGCCAACACAGTTTTGTCGTCCTTCTGATCGTGGAACAAGCCGCACGACATCTCCTTGACTTCTTCATCCTTAAGCTCGCCATTTTGGAAGTTCACTATATGACAAATTTATACATATGAATTATTTATTATGTATTTTAAGTTAATATAAAAATGATTGTGTACAATAAACAATTGACATAATAAAATGTGATAATTGAACGTACTGATAAAAGATATATAATATAATATACATATATATAATTTTTTAATACATAAATATAAAACATTATATTTGAATATTGATAATATTAAAATATATGCGGTTAGAAAATAATAAGGTTGTGAGAGGGCTGTTTATCTTACCAATAATTGGCTGAATTTTGTCTGATTGCACAATTACGTCTTCGATAATCGCTTTGAGCCGCTTCATTTTTCATTTATTCATATGTTTCACCGGTATCGTTCTCGTTTTGATGTAATTAACCTATCTCTTAAAAATGTTGCTTTTCGCGTGACACGTACAGGTTAGGATCGCGAGGAGACAAAATTAAGCGCTGTTCACATCGCGTGTTTTGTGCGTAATTTTTCAGTTGGTCGTGAGTTCGTGAAATGGTAAACTTCTTCAGTCAATCATGGCCACGAACACGATAATGAATTTGAGAAATTAAACAAATGCAAAATTATTCAAAACTACGAGATTAAAATAGTTTGAAATTTATAATAAAAATGTAAAATGTCATTTTAGGTAAAGAGGATTGCAAATGGGAAGGAGATGCAATCTGATTGGCTACGCCACGTTGTTGCTATTTTTTTTTCGAATAAACCGCAATCTTTAATAAAATAATTTATTATTTATTTTATGCTTGCAGAAGAATTTAAATATATAAAAAGAGTAATTGCGGAATTGACCAGAAGGCAACTATAACTGAATTTCGATTAATTTAATCATTAGAGCTGATTAATTCAATCGGCAGAATTACTCAATTCAGACCTTATATTAAATATATAGGGTCGGAATTGAAAAATGTGTTGCATAGTTGGATTAGCCACGTTCTGAACTTTAATAGTATCTTTATTTTGCCTCTCTTGAAATTTTATTTGAAAATAAAATTTTATTTTTTTTCTATATTTTTTTTATTGGAATAAAACGCTAGTGAAAAGTAATTTTTTTCCTATGTATCCCATTACAGCAATCGATGACAATTTTCAAGTTTGTAATGTTAACCATTCGGGTTTAGAAATTAATAATACAGAAAAAAAGTACAAATAAAAAAAAATTTTATTATGTACAACACGCTAATCGTAACATACTAATTTTCAGTATGGTCTTAAATGTTGTCCAATATAGTTATATAACATTATCTTCCTAATATCTCCCTCATTATCCCATAGCTATTAATGTCATGAATAATACACGCAACCATATATTTCTATTATCATACAGTTCTAAACATAAAAAGTACATATAAGAAAATATTAAAATCTTTGAAAGATAATTTTTTTTATAAAATTTTAATAGGACTTGGAAAATTAGTAATAACGCTTGCTTTCTCTAAACACAGTTTAAACTACAGTTTTAAAATTTAAATTTATACTTTAAAATTATCTTCTCTATTGTGAATAACAAATTATCATGTGTGCAAAAAAAAATCCAAATAAATGAATATAAAGGTGAGATGTGAAGTTAAATATCACTATCATAAATAGTTTCGAACATAAGTTAAGAAATATGAAAAACTGCTAGTTGATTTGCAGCTTTGAACTTTTTCAGGCCTTCTAGAAAATTCCAATCTATTTTCTTACTCAATAACCAAGTCATGTTCTTCAATTTCTTGGAATGTAGTATTAACCGTTTTTATCCAATCGTTTATTCTTTTCTCCTGCTCTTTTTCTGTTTTTGTAAGTTTCTTTTTCTTTGTACGTGTTTTGACATTTTCCTTCTCCTCTTCATCCTCGCTATGTTCTGAAAAATCAAACTTCACGGCACGTTTTCTCCTATATGAATGCTGGGGTGGCTGTAACATTTTAAATAAACATAATTAATAAGTAATACGATATATATAAACAAACATGCAAAAATATATAACGTTAATAAATACCTTTGAAAAATGTGTGGGTTCTAAATCCATAAACAAGGGAGCGTTATTTCCAATATTTGACAGTCTCTCAGTTTCGGACAAGATATCAAATGTGTCAGAAAAATTGAGAAAATCCACCATTTGTCTATTCTTTTGCTCCCCGAGAGGTTTATCAATTTCAGTATGCGTTTGGTCCACCGCTTGTTTATTATCCCCGTTAACATTCGGTCTCTGTAAATTTTTTATTTCTCCCAGTGATATTCTGGCGGGTGCTGGTCGTGCAGACTTACTTACAGCTGCCGCTCGAACTTTCTCCGGAGCCTGATTCTCCGAAATTGGTAATTTCCTTTGAATTACACGCTTTTTGCGAAGACCGATCTTTTTCGTTTTTCTTTCCAAGTCTTTTTGGCTTTTATTTTCCTTATTCACGTCCATATTTTCTTTATCCATTTCCGTGCTCCTTTTCTTCTCCTTATTTTCTTTATTCGTTTCGGAATTCCTATATGGCGTACTCTGAATAAAGTGTTTAGTTTGAGAAAACGTTAATGTTGGTGGTCGCCAGGGACTTCCAAGATCGAAATTACTTGCCGTCTTCACAATAGGAGACAAAGTTTTCGTCAATAAGGAATATTTAAATGTGCCGTCGTGTTCCTTCAACGTTTTATTATCAAATATATTCTTCGGCCGAAAGGGCCGTGAGTCATCGGTATTGTTAGGTGGGGTTTTAGTTACTACAATATCATTTGCATTTTCAATAGATATAATTCTTGGTTTGCTCGTGCTTCCTTTCGTTTGTCCTGCAAACGTTCTGTCGGGTAAAGTTGTTTCTCCTACGGCTTGAACATTTGTATATGTTTTTAATGTTTCCGTTTCCATAATATTTTCCGTCGATTTTTCCATCGTCTGAATATCCTCGTCTATTCTCGGTGGTTCGACCTCTTCCCCAGTATCTTTGTTTACTGATTCCTCTAGCATCTGAATATTTGTCTTTATTTCCGATGTTTCAATTTTCTTCGCAACATCTTTCGTCGATTCCACAGCTCTCGAAAATTTTGAAGGATTGCTCTGTGCGATCCCCACAGAAAGATTCGCATCAGATTCGGGAGGTTTGATCACCTCACGGTCAATTATTTTTGATTGCGTAGTAACTTTCTTACGTGTCGTTTTCTTGATTATTTTGCCTTTCCCTTTGTTAATATTTTTTCTTACCTGCTTCTTCTTCTTCTTAGTAGCTTTCTCTCTCGAGTCATTAATGTCGAACTTAAAGTCGTACACGTCATTCTTTTCTTCCGAGGATTTCTCAGAAGGTTCTACAGGTTTTTTGTACACAGGTACTTTTTTACCAACTTGCAAATTCAGCTTCTCCACCACTACCACGCTGTCCTGTTGCTTCGGCGAGATATATCGCTGCAACAATCTCGAGTCCTCGCAGTAGTTTTTTATATTCCGACGAGGACGTAAACGTGAAATCGCTGGTGTCTGACTGTTTCTTAGAGACGCATTTTCCTTCGACACACGCAGGCTCCTGCTTCTCAGACAAACGTTAACCTTCTTCGAGCTTCTGTTGGTAGCAGCAACTTTTCTGGGTTTGAGCTTCTTTTCGGGCACGGCCCTTACCGTTGGTTCACGAGGTCTCAGACGAGAAACACGCGTGGACGCTCCGGTTGTAGCCATTATATGCTCAGATTTCTTCTAAATCTGGAAATATATTTAACATATGTATACAAATTTGTTTTTAGATATCAATAAGAAGATATCGATATAATAGAATCAGAGATACAGCAGTGGCCTCCGACAATTTGATTGACCTTCGATGCGAAAAACATCTGGTGACGTATGTCAACTCACCTGGATCACGACGGGCGGGAAACGGTTATGCGAGCGTGGAAGTTGCACGGTCAACGAGCACTCGATCGCGGAAATCTAATGAACGTGTGACGTGTCAGCTATCAGACTGAACGTATTTAACAGACGGTGACGTGATATCGCGCAAATCTGCATCGCATAATACGCTCTTCGAGGAACTCCGAGCAAAAATCGCAAAACCTTTCGACCTCACCGCAACGCAACTCTTGTGCAAAATGTCGGCGACACGAGTGCCAACCCTCGCGCATTTCCACCATTGGCAGGCGTACCAATACGTTCACAGTTTTTTTCGATTAGAGGTTAGGTTAGGTTAGGATTAGGTTCTGGAGGTTATAATTGGTTATAATTTGTTATTATCGTTCCGGCTGTTTGCCGCTTCGCGTGTTTATAGATATTTTACAAAGTTTCATTAATCGCTTTGCGCAGAACCGACAAATATTGCGAGATGCGAGCAAGCTGGGACAAGTATTATTCGACGTCGAGCTAGCGAATTTTGCGTAATTAAAATTCCATCTTTGTAATTAACCTAAAATAATTGAGAAATGGCCGATGAAAAGTCTGTGGTGCAAGAATTCAAGTTGGATCCGGATTGCGAATTGAGATTCGAGGTGGAGAGCAAGAATGAAAAAGTTACATTGGAGGTAATGGGACACAACTCCTCTCGGAGAAATTTATTTCATTTATTGCTAACTCATTTATTTTATTGCCAGGTAACACGAAATTTTGTTATTGCAGTTAAAGAATGGCCTGGCGGAAGTTTTTGGCACGGAATTGGTGAAAGGGAAAAAGTATGAGTTTACCGCCGGTGCAAAAGTTGCGGTTTACACTTGGCAAGGCTGTACCGTTGAACTAGTCGGGAAGACGGACGTCAGCTATGTAGCTAAGGAGACGCCTATGGGGCTATACCTGAATTGCCACGCGGCGATGGAACGGATGAGAGAGACGGCGGAGAAGGATGACACTCGAGGTCCGATAACGATGGTCGTGGGTCCTTGCGACGTGGGAAAGTCGACGCTTTGTAGAATATTGTTGAACTATGCCGTTAGAATGGGCAGAAGACCGATTTTCGTCGATCTCGACGTCGGTCAGGGACACATAGCTATTCCTGGCACCGTAGGTGCCTTGCTGGTGGAACGACCTTCCAGCATAGTGGAGGGTTTCAGCCAGCAAGCTCCATTGGTCTTCCATTTCGGACACAAAACGCCACAAACCAACGTAACGTTGTACAACTTGCTTGTGACGCGTTTAGCGGAGGTTTGCTCGGACAGGCTGCAAGCCAACAAGAAGGCCAAGGCGTCCGGAGTCGTCATAAATACGTGTGGTTGGGTCAAGGGAGACGGCTACAAGTTACTCACTCACGCCGCGCAGGCGTTCGAGGTGGATGCAATTCTGGTGTTGGATCAGGAGAGACTCTACAACGAATTGGTGAGAGATATGCCGGACTTCGTGAAGGTGGTCTTTTTGCCGAAGAGCGGCGGCGTTGTCGAGAGGAGTCAGACACAGAGGATCGAGGCGAGAGATCAGGGCGTTAGAGAATACTTCTACGGTTCTCGGAATCCACTGTATCCGCATAGTTTCGAGGTGAAGTGGAGCGAGGCGAGATTGTACAAGATCGGGGCGCCCGTTTTACCAGCGTCTTGTATGCCGTTGGGCATGAAGGCGGAGGACAACCTGACGAAATTGGTGGCCGTTACGCCGGGACCCAGTTTATTGCATCACTTGCTTTCCGTGTCCTTTGCCGATTCTCCCGAGGATGACGTCGTGCAGACTAATGTAGC